GTTTGGACTGACACCCCCCGACAACCGTATCCTTTCTTTCCCCCATCTCCCTGCCTCTCATCCCCATTTAAACCTTTCCGGTTTCGCCCTTCCACTGCTGTGACACGTGTATTCTATTACTTTCCCTTACCTTGGAGAATCTTTTCCCTCCACTCTCATTGGCCCTGAGCTCCACACACGTTCTTTCCCACATATGTGCACATACATAAAGGTTAGAAGCTGGGCTCTGCGTGTGGGAGAAGGTTCAGCATTTGTCTTTCCGAACCTCGGCTTCCACGCTCAGCCTAATGTTCCCAGTTCCATCCGTTTTCCTACACGTTTCATAATTTCATTTTACGGCTGAATAAAATTCCATGCGTGCATGTACCACGTTTTCATTATCTGTTCATCGGGTGATGGACATCCAGGCTGAATCCATTCCCTAGCTGTTGTGAATAGAGCAATGATGAATGTGGATGAGCAGATGTCTCTGTGGTAGAACGGAGAGTCTTCTGGGTACACACCAAGGAGGGTTATAGCTGGGTTAGATGGAAATTCTACTTTTAGTTTTTAAAGAAACTCCCCAGATAGATAGATGTCCATAGTGGCTACACCATTTACATTACAACTGACAGGGAACAACAGTTCGCTTTTCCACGTATCCTGGGCAGCATTTGTTGTCATTTGTTTTCTCCTTAACAGTCATTCTGACTGGGATGAGATGGAATTTCAAAGTAATTTTAATTTACATTTCTCTGGGGGCTAAAGATGTCGAGCACGTTTTAAAATATTTATCAGCCGATCATATTTCTTCTTTTGAGAATTCTCTGTTAAGTTTTTTGGCCTATTTTTTTTTTCACTGAGGTTTTTGTTTGTTTTCTTTTTGTTTAGGTTTTTGTTGCTGTTGTTATTTTTAGTTCCTTGTATATTTCAGATATTAATCAGCTGTCAGATTTTACTCCCATTCTGTAGGCTTTCTCCTCTATTAACCCGGGTTTTGTTGGGTGTTTTTTTGTTGTTGTCGTTCTCATACGGCTTTTTCACTTCATGAGCTTGCATTTGCCAATAGTGAACCCTACTTCCTGAGTGACTGGAATCAGGAGAAAAACAGCCTTGGCTGTGCCCAGGGCTTGACCTTCCAGCAGCTTCATGGTTTCAGATCTTACATTAAGGTCTTCATCCTCAGAGTTGATCCTTGTGCAGGGTTAGAAAGGAGCCAGCTGTATTCCTCTGCTGTGGTGTCCAGTTTCCCTGGTGCCATTTGTTAGGGGGGTTATCTTTTATTTGGTGTGTTTTTGTTTGTTTGTTTATGTGTTTTGTGTTTTTGTTTCAACTTCGTAGTGAAAATCTGCTAGCTGTAGCTGCATGGCTTATATCTCAATTCTCACTTCTCTGCCATTGACCTGAGCATGCCAGAACCATGCTGTTTTTATCACTGTCACTCTGTGCTATAACTTGAAGTCAGATACAGTAATAATCAGTACACTGTGCTTTTTGCTCAAGTTTATGATGGCTACCTGGGGTCCTTTATGTTTCCATATGAGCTTTAATATTTATTTTTTTTCTGTAAAGAATGATGTTGGCATTTTAATGGGCATTGTATTGAGTGTACAGATCACTTTTGGTAGACCCACCATTTTAACGAGATTAAGTCTTCTGACCCATGAGGTTGGCAGAGTCCTTCTACCTTCTAGTATCTTCATAAATTTCCTTCTGTGCTTTAATGTTTTCATTGTGCATGTCTTCTGCTTCCCTTGTTAGCTTTGTTTTATATATTTGAGACTGTTGTGAATAGGATTATTTCTCTGGCTTCTTTTAGATGTCAATTATTTATTTATAGTATTACTATATAGGAAGGTTGCTGATTTTTGTGTTTAATTTTGTATCCTGCCACATTACTGAAAGTGTTTATTGGCTCTTGGAATTTTCTGGTGGAGACCTTAGGGTCTCTTATGTATTGAATCATAGAATGTGCAAATAAAGACATTTGACTTCTTCCCTTTCTCTTTATATCTCTTATTTCCTTCTCTTCTCTTATTGCTCTAGGTAAGATTTCAAGCACTGTTTTGAACAGGAAACACTGACACCTTTGTCTTGTTCCTGGTTTTTTTTTGTGTGGTTTTTCTCCAGTTATCGTGAAGTTGGCCTTCCTTCGTGGTGGACGTCCTTTGTTGTGTTTCCTCCATTTCCAGCCTCCCAGGGGCTTTATCATGATAAGGTGTTAGGTTTTGACAAAGGCCTTTATCCGCACCTATTGATTGATCTCTCAAATTCTGCCCTGGAGTACATTGTGTGGTGTATTACATTTATTGATTTGCATATGCTGAATGTTCCCTGCTTCTCTGGAATGAAGCCAACCCCGTTATGGTGAGCGACCATTTGGGTATGTCCTTGAATTCATGTCACAAATATTTTTTTTTTTATATTTGTCTTAAGTTCATCAGAGAGATTGATCTACACTTTTCTTTTCTGTTGTGTCTCTCTTCGGTTTGGGTAGCAGGATAATGCTGGTTTTGTGTGTAAGTGTGCATGGGCACACATGTGGAGGTCAGAGGATAACTTGCAGGAGTTGGTTCTTTCCCTCCACCTAATGCATCTTCTGGGGATCCAACTCGGGTTATTAAGCTGAGAAGAAAACACAACAACTGAGCCATCTTCCCAGCCAGGTTTGGCTTACTCTTGTTTGTTTGAGGTCATTCTTATTTTTAATGTAGGTATTTATAACTGTGAACCTCCCCTTTAGGACTGCTTTCTTTATATCCTATAGGTTTATGTACAACTGAGCTGTATTTATTCAATTTTAAGATTTTTTTTTTCTTCTTGGTTTCATTTCTTCAATGACCCATTCATCATTCTACAGTGTGTTGTTTAATATCCATGAGTTTCTGAATTTTTCTATAGTTTCTATTTTTCTTGACATCTAACTTTATTCCACTGTGGTCAGACAGAATACAAAAGGTTCTTTCAATTGTCCTGTACTTGCTGAGACTTGTTTTATGTCCTAGTATGTTCAATTTTAAAGAAAGTTTAATAGACTACTAAGAAGAATATGTATTCTGCAGTGTTTGAGTGGAACATTTTGCAGATGTAGGTTAAATCCACATGATCTGTGATGTCATTTAATTCTGTTTGTTTATTTTTTTTGTCAGGGTGAACTGTCTATTGGTGGAAATGGGTCATTGAAGTCATCCATTGTTAGGATTATCTATAACTTTATATTTAGAAGAAAGATTAGCTACATTAAAAAAAATCAACCAATCATCTAACTCTTGATGTACAAATCCCAACAAAAATAAATAAATAAATAACAGGAAAAACCACAACAACCTGTCTACTATCAATCCAGAGAAGTGGCCCCGGTGAGAGTGACTTAGACAAAATGTCAGACAAAGACTTCAAAGTCATAATTACAAATACATCCAAAGAAGTGAAAGAGCTCATTAGCATGGTCCTGAATAAACCCAAGAGAACACAAACTGCAGCACTAGTGGTTAGCATTGAGGTGATAAAGAGAAAGTAGAGGAGGGATCTGAAAGGACAAAAGGGAAGGAGGGAGATGAGGAGGAGAGAGATGGGGTTTTGGATAAAGGTCAATAGAAGAAAGAAAAGTGAAGATATTCTGACATTGTAGAACAGTCCCATTTCTCGGGGATCTGAGAATCTGCAAATCAGGTCAGATTATGTTCTTGGAGAAAGGGGAAAAGGATAAGGTTGGGTCAAGAGCAGAATGAAGCCAAGGCAAGCCTGCTAAAATGCCATTGGATATGAAATAGAGATAGGCTCCATGTAGATGGATAGAAGGCTGCATGGAAAGAGAGGCTATGAGAACTGACTGAACCAATGATTGCTGCTCTCCATCTGGACCCTCCTGTGTGCCTTCCCAGCTCCTAAAACCCCATGTCACCCTCTGAACTTCCTCTGCTATGGATGCTCAGATGCTCCCCTTCTCCCTGCTCAGTCTTCCTGGCATGATCAGATGACAGGTGCCATCCTGGAGGGTGCTTCACAGCGCAGTCTCAGGAGCTGGTCCTGCCCCTGTAATTTCCCTCAGGGCACCAGTTGTGAATGCTGACTCGGGCCCTGCGCAGCATTTGTCAATGTCCTGTGTGCTGTTTGGAGTCACTGTGGAGGTTCACACATACACTTTGCTTCCCACCAGGTTTTCAGCTACCCGGATTCTCTACAGATGTGGCTCAAAGCTCCTTTTCCTAAATCACAATGTCCTCTCCATGAGGCCTCAGAATATAGTCTCATACTGCTTGGTGGGTGTTTCTCAAGTGTGGTTTATTGAGGATCTTGGCATCACAGCAACCAATATCTGTTTAAAGTGGTGTCTCCCTTCTCCTCTGTGGACTGCCAGCACCAAGCACCCGTACCAAGGAAACAAGGTTTCCCACAGTGTCCCCTGATAATGCATCTGCCTGGATTGTGGCCTTTTCCCCAGCTGTTAAGTACTCATTTTTCTGATGGCTATTTTTCCGCTGTCCCCAGTTAATTCCCTGGAGGTTCTAGTAGACTGTCCCCGAGCATCACCTGACATCTTGTGTCTCCCTCGATTTGAATTTGAGTTCGTAAGACAGTTCCCTAACCATCCTCCTGGAGCTGAGTAAACGTTGCATGGAATTGTCAGGCAGACCTGGGTTCAAATTCTAGGTCAGCCACTAGTATTCTGTGTAACCTTGAGCAATGGTTCCATACTGTTGCTGCTACTCAGCTATTGCGACGTGGTGTCGGCGTCAAGTGACTGCTTCATTTATTAATACTAAATAAATTTGCACTGAATACCTGCCTACTGTAAAGAGCCCTGCAAGGATATGGCGGTGGGCAGTTTTATCAAGAACCTTGCCGTTGTGAAACATGTCAGTCTAGTGGAGAAAAATATGACCAGTTGCGGGATCATATACATATGCAATGATGACAAATGTGAGGGAGGAGCAGATACAAAGAGGTAAAGCTTCTCAGAGGATGTGACCAGTGTATAGTGTCCTTCCCAGTGCTCTAACTCTGAACCTCTCTTTCAGGTACCTGGAAGGAAACCATTTAACAGCGGTGCCCAAAGAGCTGTCCGCCCTCCGACAGCTGACACTTATGTAAGGAGCCTGCCATTGCGCAGGCATTTATTTCTTGTTCTTGGGGTGGTGTGGGACAGGGATAGGAAGGCCAAGAAAGGACAGTGCTGAGGCAGATGCAGTTCTCAAACTGCATGCCTGCATGGCGCTGGGAGGGGCAGCTAGCTGGGAGGAAACACCGACCAGGCTGATATGGGAGGGTTTGCTCAGGCCTGTGTGAAGAAATAGGCTCTGAACTACCTCCCTATTGGCTTAGAGGGAACCTCTGACCTTCCAGGCTCTAGGCTGAATTCCTGAGCCTTCTGGACTTCCAATTCCTTGCAAACCTTGGCCAGGCTTAGATCTACCAGGAACACAAACAAGCATTTCTTCTTCCTTCTTTGGTTTCCTAGAAAATGTCTCAAGTGATGGTTTAAACCAAGGGCCTTCAATAATAGCTGCTACAAGCTCCAAGCCTTCCAAGAACCAGAAAACTCTTGAATGGGAAGCAGAAAACCTGAGCCTGGGCAAGGTTCATGAGCTTGTCTCTCAACAGGGTCAGTGCCTTGCCTTGGTGGGACCCAGAAGGGTGAAATTATTCCCTGGGCAAGTGGTAATTGAAAGTTGCCCATGTCTGCTTGAGAGGACCTAAGAGCCAGTCCACAGAGACAAGAAAGGTTCTTTCACCATACAAGTCAGAGGCCAACTAACAAAAAGTTTGAGAAAGCCACCATTTGGTCCCTATTCTTGTCCTCCAAAAACCAATGTCTCTATGAACATTTCTCAAACTCAGCTATGGACATCTGGAGCCAGATAACCATTGTCTAGGGGAGTTGTAGTGATCATCATGAGACACTCAGCAGTGACCTTGGCCTCTGTTGGATGCCAATAAGACTTCACCCTGTAGTGACAGCCAGAAACATCTGTAGATACTATCAAATGTCATGGCAGAACAGAACTTCCCCCAGTGGAAAAGCACCATTCCCCAGCAATGGAGAATTTCTGCTGTGGGGAATTGCCCAGGGAGGAGCTGTTGATGCTGTTTTTTTAATACATACAGAATTTAAATCAGACTATACGGGCAGGGAACCCCTACTTTAAAAGGATTTAAGAGCTCCTTGGGTGACTGTACTATGTAGCTAATCTCACCCTGCTGTTCTGGAAATTTGTCTCCTGAGGAAAAGCCAGAAGGTATATTTGCTAGAGGTCTCTTCTACTAACTTTGTTTCCCCTAAGAAATGAATCAGATGGAATGAATTAATGACAGAGAGAGGACTGGTGATAAGAACTGATCAGAGGGGTCTATTGTGGTGATGCATACCAGTAGGATTTGCTGAAGGAGGTGGAGGCAGGAAGATCACAAGTTCGAGGCTAGCCTGGGCTACACAGTTTTCAGCCAGGTGGTTGTACCACATACCTTTAATCCCAGCAGAGCCAGGCAAATCTCTGAGTTAAAGGCTTGCCTGGTACACAGATCGAGTTGCAGGACAGCAGGAGATACACAGAAAAAAACCCTGTCTCAGAAAAACAAAACAACAATCAAAAAAAATAGAATAAGGAGAAATTATTTTCTTATGTGTTATATTTGCTAGAATGAAATATATGAATAAGCATATAATTGAATGATTTAATCATGGAATGAGTAAATAAATGGATGAATGGGTGGGCAATGATAATGGAAAAATTGACATTTAGATCAATGTATGAGTAGGTGAATGGATGGGTAGTAGGGGACAAGGGCACAAATGAGAAGGCAGGTGGATAAATATGAGAATGGGTAGGCAGATAGATGGAGAATTGGAGATGAGTACGTATATGTCTAGACAGATGGGCGTGGGGGTAGATGGACAGATGAGGAGCGCACGGAGAAGTGCAGGAATGAGTACTCGTGCAGCAGTGAATGGACTGGTTGACTGATGTCACACTCGTGTGACAGTTGGGCCCCCTGAGGTGCCGCTCACAGTGACGGGTGGCTTTTCTGTTTTACTTTACCTAGTGACCTGAGCAACAACAGCATCGGCGTGCTGACCAATTACACCTTCAGCAACATGTCTCACCTCTCCACGCTGTGAGTACGGGCGGCTTCGTGGCTAAGCTTCCTGGGCGTGGCCACTGGAGTCCTGTGGCCCTTCAGTCCTAGGCGCCTTGCTCTAGCTGTCCTCAGCGCTTTGGCTGCCTCAGTAGCAGGCAGCCGATCCTAGTCATCAGGAGATGCAAAACAGAGAGGCAGGGGCCTGGCAGATGGAGGGACTGGAAGCTAATTACCTCTGAAGAAGGCTGTCTTTGGAATGCCTTCTGGGATACACGCACGTTCCTTCCCAGTGGAGAGTTTCCTACACAATTATATTTTGCTCAGACCCATTTATTTCCCATTAGCTCCGCACGTTGTAAGCACACACCATTTGACAGTAGAGGGAGGTGGTCGAAAAGCTGATTAGAGAGCCAGTCTGCTGTGGAGCTTCATGGCGTGGGAGGAGGTTCTCTTCCCTCTGTCTTATGGTGCCTTTGTCGATGTATTAAATCAGGGAGATTGGAGGAAACGTTTGTTTTTCACGGGACCACAGCATAGACAGTGCACCCACAGGAGCAGGGGCAGCCGGCCAGCAAGCTCACATGTTCCCTTTCCACAGGATCCTGAGCTACAACCGGCTGAGATGCATCCCCGTCCATGCCTTCAACGGCCTCCGGTCACTCCGAGTGCTGTGAGTCACTGGGCCTGGGGTCAGCTTACACGGTACTGAATAACAACATTGGTACACAGAGGGCTCCCCTTCCCCACTGTCCTTTGTGCAATGCCCATTCGCTGCCACCCAGCCACCCTTATTTACTCAGTGGGGTAAAGACAATGTACTTCATGGCATAGTTGGCCATTCCTGAGGTTCAGCACACTGCTGCTCATGAGCCTTTAGCTAATTACTCGCCCCTCAAGTCTGAACTTTGCTGTGTCACCCCCTCCCTCACCCCACCGTCATCAGGGAACTAGGCTACATTAATCCATCCTGGCCATACCTGAGCTCCAACCCATCCCCAACCCCCGCTCATTTGCAGACAGTACGCTCTGTAGCCTCCACACTCATATGCCCTCATAGCCTGCCTGGTCCCGTCCTACCCCTGATTTGGGGACAGCTCCCTTGAGACAGTTGAACTGCACACAAAGGCTAGAGGGCTCCAGAACCCTCCCAATACCTGAGTATGGCTCCCCCCCCCCATATCTTCTCACTCACAAAAGTCAAATAATGATGGTAATTGCCTCCCTGAATCTTTGGAGGAGTCAATGAGATGCTGTGTCTAAAGCACATTGCACAGCTCTGGCTGCTGCAAATGTGAAATAAATATCCATCTGTTATTCAGGTGCCCGTGGGAGCTAGGACAGGGCGACACTATGCTGCTCCAATTCTAGGTCTAATTTGTATACCTTTCTACCTCACACTGTTTTATTGATAAAGATGTTATGCTGTGCCTCTGCCCTTTGAGGAATCTCCTCATGATGGTAGAGATGTCACCTTGGTCTCAAATCTCTCACCCATTTTTTTTCCTAGTCCATCATTATTATAAGAGTAACCCCCACAGTTGAAAGGGTGAGGCTTAGACATGCCTTCTCCTAATCCTTTGCGATAGTACTGCGAGCTTGAGAAGATGATGCCAATTTTAGAGATAGGGAAACTGAGACCCGGCTGATGAAGTAACTAGGCAAGTCTGCTTGTCACAAGGTGGTCGAGTCCAGCCTTCTGCCTCAGTGCTATCAACAGACAGCACCCAGCAAGCCAGTCCAATTCCAGAGGCTCTGGGCCGATGTGAGTTATTAAGACCCGGAATGCACCCGTGTCAGCAACAAGCCCCGCCTCACGTTGTCTGCACTGTTATTAAAAATCAATTCTCTAGGGGCAAAGAAGTGCCTGTGCTGACAGTGTGCAATCTGTTATTGTCACTTACTTATTATCCGCTTTCTCCAGGGAGTTTGGGGATGGAAACATCAGCGGAACCATTTCCTTGTTTCCAAATGAATACTCTGATGGAAAGGCCTCAGTCATCCGGCCCAAAGCCAGACCAGCTCTCCCTTCCATTGCCCCTATCCATCCCAGCCCCCAGTGTACCATCCATTCAGTCTGATGCTTCTGGGGATGGGTTGGATGCAGGAGACAGGCCTGCCAGTTTTAACGGAATCTCTGTGCTTGGGTTCAACACTTGGAGTCATTCTGATGGGGATAATTCAGAGAATCTGAGAGAGAGAGAGAGAGAGAGAGAGAGAGAAAGAGAAAGAGGGTCTCCCTGTCCATCTATCTGTTTACTGGAGGTGATGGTGTGGGCATCACAGCCTGCCAGGGGCTTCCCCTTCCTCAGCTCCTTGTGTGCCCTACCGCAGCCCCATGCCATCACAGGTCACAGGAATGCCTGCCTGCACTCAGCACAAGGGAGCTTGCTTCCGAGTTTAGAGTCAGCAGGCTTTAGCATGATTGTTTTAGAATCAGTGGGTCTCGGGGATAAAACCAGTCTTAGAGCCTCTCGATCCAACCAAGAACCTCAGTGGGGAGCAACCATTTTCTGCGTAAGGACCAATTCAGGAAAAATAACAACGTTTATGGGCTACATTTTTATGATATTTGTATCCTTTCTTCTAGTAATTGCACATGTAGGAATTTACGCTACAGAAAAACCCAAAATGAGGGAAAGGTTCTATAAATCTGGGTCTTTGTTGTGTTATTTTTTAACCTAAATTTTAAATATTACCCACCAGGACCACAATGGGAAAACGTATAAAGAGATTATGGCACAACTAGTCAATGAAATGAAGTTATTAAAGGAGATAAAGATGAAAACTAGACACAGCGTGGGAAAGGGCTGACTATTTAGCGATTGCGTGGGAAAGGAAACTTAATTATATCTTGTAAACATTGACACCTCTGAACAGAGACTCAAGGGAACAAGGGAAAGAATGGCTTTTGGCTGCCGCCTAATACTATCAACTCTGTTACAAGTGGGGCAAGGTTGAGCAGGAATGGAGACTGTTACACAGTAGCAATTTAGAGAGTTGGGCAAAAGATGAGGAGGTTGTTTTCTTAGTGTGTTGTATGGAGTCCATGTGTGTAAGCACAGATATACATGTACTGGCACATACATGTGGAGGTCAGAGGGCACCTTGGGTGTTGGTTTTCAACTCAAGACAGATTCTTCTGTTGTTGATGACTGTGTCCACCAGGCTCGCAGGCCCTTGGGCTTCCAGGGATTTCCTTGTCTCTGCCCCCTGTCTTGCAATAGGACAGCAGGGATGACAGATATGTGCTACTGCTGGCACTATGTGGGCTCTGGGTATCTGGACTCAGAGTACCCATACTTTCATGTAAGTGCCTTGCCCAGTGAGCCACCTCCCTGGACCCAGGGAAGTTTGTTTGTAATCAGGAATTGTATTATCCCTAATGACATTTGAACGTTTCTCATTTCTGAAGAATTTCACTATTTTGCTGAAAAATTCAAAAAATAATGAGAGCCTCGTAAGTGATGCTGTTTGGCACAGAGGAAGACAAGCATGAAGGATTAGCCATAGATAAAACCTAACAAGGCCATGGAAATACAATAAGAGACCCGGAGGGGGAGTGTCTGTCTGTCTTTCTGTGTGTATGTGTATCTATCTGTGTGTGTTTGCCTCTATCTACCTGTATATGTGTCTTTTTAATCTCTCTTTTGCTCTCGCTGTGTATGTGCTGTCTCTTTCTTTCTCTGTCTCTCTCACTTTATCTGTCTCTGTGTGTATACATGTATCTGTCTGTCTGTGTCTACCCTTTCTGTCTCTGTGTCTGTCTTTCTTTATCTGTGTGTCTGTGTTTCTGTTTGTCTGTGTCTCCTTCTCTGTCTCTCCCTTTCCCTCTGTGTATGTGTGTGTGTGTATGTGTGTGTGTGTGTTCTATTGTCAAGTGAAACTGAGTCCATTTCAGAGAACAAGACAGGAGGGTTGGTCAGGAGTTCAAGCACAAAACATTGTGAGAGGAAAAAAATATTTTCTCTACTTCCCTTGTGATGTAAAATAGCTAGCAAGAACATTCTTGTGGGCATTCTTGTCCTTCTTTGGGGATCTGTGCACTCTTAGGGATCTTTGCCCCACACAGTCACATGCCTTGTGTGTGTGTGGTCCTAAAGATCACTCTCCAACCCTACGTAGGGGCACCTGGAATCAGTTAGGACAGGGAGGGCCACCCCAACGTGTCCTGGGGGAGGTAGGGCGGGACTAGGACTATCATTCATCATCCTTCAGATTTTTAGCTTCTCGTCCTCAAAGTAAACCCACTGTTGATGCCCATGAGGAGCTTGGGACCGCCCGAAGCCCTCCTACAGTGTCCCCATTAAGGGTTCCAGATGTTCTTTGTTTGGTAACCTTCCCAAGAGGGACCTCACTGCCTCACCAGAGAGCCAGCCCACCTCTGACAGCCTTGGCCATTAGCAAGTGCTGGTGGTGAGCTGAAAGGTGGTGCCAGTGGCTTCAGTGGCCTCCAGACCATGGCACGGGCTTCCTGCTTGAAAACCAAAGCAAAAGTAGCAGGAACTTCACAACAAGAAGAAAGTTTTAGAGGTGTTCCTGTCTAAACTTGTCCTGTTGGAGCTAGAGACAGAAAAGTTCAGCGACTTGTTCACTTTCCTAATGCCTTTAGTGGACAAGCTGCACGGACAAACTCAGGGTGGGCACAGACAGTAAGGGTGACACCACTGATGGCCTCTAAAGAAGGGAAACTGTCAAGCTGAGAATCATTTGCCACCCAGGGTGACACCTCAGGAAAGAGCCACAGGCCACAGTGAAGTATCACATACCCTGCCCATCTCAAGCCTCTCTGAAAGGCAGCCCTTTCTGGAACATCACCATTGGTGTTTGTTAAGCCTTAACTAAAGCACTGCCCAAGGGGTAAGGGCTTTTGTGTCATTACCGTATTCTTCACCCTAGGAGGGCATGCCTCTGTTATCCCCATCTCATTTATGAGTAAACTGACATTGAGCAATAAGAAGTGATTTCTCTGACTAATACAGTTGAGACTTGAACACAGGACTGTTTGCTTTCCAAGTCAGTCCTTGGCTTCTGTTTCCAAGGCTGAGATGAAGAAGCCACTGTTCTTCCAGACAGTAACAATATGGATACCTTAAAATCAAGGGCAAGTATGGAGGCTGGAGAGTTGATTCGGTAGTAAGAGCACTTGCTGCTTTTCCAGAGGACTGGTTGGAGCTCAGTTCCCAGCACCCACATCAAATAACCAGCGAGTCAGTGCTACTTCAGAGGATCCAACCCTCTCCTCTGGTCTCTGTGAGCACTTACATGCACTCTACTTGAAGACTGGAGCATTGCCGATTGACAGTTTATGTATTTTCATCTTTACCCAGAGAAGCTTCTGATCAGAATTAAAGAGTTGTGACTGGGGACAGAGGGGGAAGCTGGCCAGAGTGGGAGGAACCAGGAGGAGCTGGAAGAAACAAACAAACAAACAAAAACAAAAAAACCTGATCAAAATATATTGTATGAAAATCGTTTTAAATTAAAAAAAAAAAAAAAAAAAAAAGGTGAGGTAGGCCAGAGGGCTTGGGAGCCTCTGCCTCTGTTCCCTTTATCTTGCCTTCGGCCCAGGAAGTGAGCCATGGGACTCCCTGCTGCCTTAAAATTGGTGGAAAATATAATTACAGCCTTCTACTTTACATAAGCAATGCCTCGAAATAAATCCAAAAGCAA